CTGACCGACTTTAAACAGTCATCAACGTAAAAGTTCCTCAGAACTGTCTCTACGGCCTGAGTTGATGCCGCAGTCCTGTTTTCTTCTGCTGCTCTTCTTAAGGCAAAGTTAGCACAGCTGGCAGACGAGGTGACGCCGAAAATGTGTACAACCATTTCGTAATCAACCATTTCTTGTGTGAGGTCTCCATTAGGCCACCACAAAAAGCATAGGAGGTATGTATCCTCTTCTGGGACTCTGACTTGGTGGTACATGGCTTCTATGTCTGCCATCATTGCAAAATGCTCTTGTCTAAAACGTGTCAGGACTCCGATGAGGGAGCTTGTAAGGTCAGGACCCTGAAGCAATTCGTTATCGATTGAAGTTCCATGGAAACTTGCGGCACAGTCAAAGACTACCCGGAGTTTTTTCTTTTGTGGGTGGTACACACCATGGTGTGGGATATACCACACTCTGTCGTCTTGCCGGCTCAGTTGTGTCTCTGGCACCTTGACTGCATATCCCTTGTTTAGCAGGTCACTAATACAGTCTGTGTATTCCTGGTGGAATTCTCTTCTTTAGGTTAATTGCTCTCTGCACTGCAGCATACTTATTGTTTGGCAAGCTGACCAATGATGTCTTTGTAGGTAGATTGATGTAATAATGTCCTTCAGCATGAGGGATTGAGCTGGACACAGAGCTGATGAATGTGTTGTCTTCTCGTGACATTTCCAGTTTGTCGCTGTAGCAATGCTCAGGAAAGTCTGCATTGTATTGCTGTATGAGTAGCCTTTCCACAGTCTCTACTGCAATCCGGTTGATTGTGACTTGGTGCTGCTCACCGTCCTCTGGCTCACTGTCTTGTTCTTTAAGTGGGCCGTTAATAGTCCAGCCAAGGACCGTCTTTACGGCATATGGGCCGTTGTTCTGACTGTGAATGACTTTCCATGGCTCGAAAGCTTCATACACGTCATTTCCAATTAGGAGTCCTATCTCAGCAGCGATGCACGGCAGCTCTACTTCCTGAAGGTGTGGCCATTTTTCAATGTCTTTCTGAAGAGGAATATGATCCTTTGTTACTGGGATGCTCTTTTGCGTGAAAACCTTTTTTAAGCTGATAAACTTATCTTCTTTGATTCCACAGATCTCCAAATCTCTCAGCAGAGAACTTTTCACTTGTTTGGTTGAGCTCAATGTTATTAGGACAAGCTGCGCTCCTTTTCCCTGCAGGTTTAGCTGCCTTGCTAAAGAGTCTGTGCAAAATGTTGCCGAGCTCCCAGGGTCCACGAAGGCGTAGGTTTTCACAAGCTTGCTTCCTTTCTTTGCTTTGATGTAGACTGGAAGAATAGCAAGAACACATCTATCTCCGGCCCCTTCACAGGTAGTAGTCTCCTGGTTTAAGCTCACCAGTGCACTTGAAACTACTGTGTTGTCTGACCTGCCACCTTTGACTTTCTGCACGTGCATGATTGGAAACATTGTCTTTTTTGTGAATGTGCAGCAAGCTTGGGTGTCTTTCTGAACATGTTTGGCATGTCATTCTCTTTTTGCAGTCTTTACTCACGTGGCCTTTAACTAGGCATCCAAAACATAGTCCAGATTTCCATATAAAATCCACCTTGTCTTTATGAGGTTTTTCTGCAATCTGATGGCACTCCAATAGTGCGTGGTCCTTTTTGCAGAACAAACATGGCTTCATGAAGGCAACATTACTTGACGTCCTGCTATTTACTGTCAGTGGTTTGCAATTATCTTCCTCTGTTGATGTGGCCACACTGGTTGCAAAGATGCTTCCTTTAATCCTTTCACTCCTGGTATTTTTCTCCATTTGTAAAACGTTCCTGTTTTTCGCTTCGGCAGCAGATCCCTTCAGGTCACCAAAGAGAGGGTCAGCCAGGATTTTGGCTTGTTTATCCACAAAGTCGACCAAGTCTTTGAATCTCACTCTTCTCTGGTTCCTTTCTTGGATCTTGAATGCCAGCACCTTCCATCTTTCTATGAATTTATAGGGTAACTTCGAGACGATAACTCTCATATTTGTAGGGTTATCCAGCTCCTCCATGTAATTCACATCCTCCAGGGCGTTTCTGCAATTTAAAAGGAATAGGGAAAACTTGTTGAGTGCTTGTGAGTCCTCTGGTTTTATTTGCGGCCATTTTAGCACCTTTTCCATCAAAGCGGTGGCAATCTTCAGTGGGTTGCCGTAGCGGTCTTCCAACATGTCCATGGCTCTCTGAAAACCACGGTCGGGGGGCATATGCTGGCAGCTTTTTACAATGTCTTTGGGATCACCTCTTGTATACTGTTCCAGGAAGTACATCTTATCTGCAGCTGACTGTGTGTTGGAATGCCTTAAGAAAAGATCTGAAGTCGAGCAAGTCACCATAAAAAACAGGAATATCACGCTGTGGGAGAAGGGCGAGCTGCTGATGTTTCACAAGCATTTCTGTTATATCAGTCTGCTTCTTGATTACTTTGCATATGTCCTTTTCATAGTCACTTTGTCGCTGATGTGCCCCACTGGCTAATGTACTTGAGTCCAGAGCCTTTGGTGCTTTAGGTCTAGCTCCAGGTGCTGAAATAGACCTATCTGATGGGTTTACATGACTGCTTGGGATTAGTGGATGGCTGTGTCCTGCTTGCTCTTGTGTGTCTTCTTTCTGCCGTGTGTTTGCATTGTCCAAATACGTGTTCATTGCATCACTCTTATCCTGTGCGTCATACTCTTCATATATTTAAATTTTAGCATTTGACACTGCTAAAGCTGTTTTAATTTTCAGCTCTTCTTTCTCAGCCCGAAGATGTGCCTCCTTAACTGCCAAGGCTTGACTTTGCTTTAGCGAGGCAGCCTTGGCTTCCAAAGCTGCACGCTTTACTTCCTCTCTTAATCGTGCTGAGGATGCTGTTGAAGAGGATGAAGCCCTACTAGCTCTACTGGATCTTGACACCACAGATACTGTCCATATGAGAAACATCATCAATGCAGGCTTGTGGTATTTCTTTGCAATGCTCCTCACAATTAATCCACACATCAGATTATTTAATAAAGTCGTGAAACCTCAGAGTTTTAGGCTCAAACTAGTTCTCTTGTTCATGGCTCTTTTCTTCTTCGTCCATAAAAAGCACAACTGAGCAGTTACAGTCTTTAAACTCTTCAAAGATTACCTTGAAAAGTCTCATCTTTGAGATAACTTCCATCAAGTTACAGGTGTTGCCCATTAAAGGCTCAACTTCATTCATTTTGGCAGTGAGTTGTCTTAATTTACCTCTCCTTGCATTGATGCAGAGCTGTAGCCGCTGCTCCATGGCCTTTTCTGTTGGTTTTGCTGCCCTCTTGTGGGCGTCGACCGTAAACGCACCCTCAGTGGCGCTGTCCTCCGACATTATTCAGCTGATTTGGCTGAACAAAAGACAACAGCTGTTTTACCAAGTGGCTAGAACTCCAACGGAAAGGCATGCAGAGTAGCGTGACAGCCTGCAGTCCATGTCCACACGGTAGAGGATAATCCAAATGGTCCTTTGCTCAAGTAGCCACGATCAGATCCACTTCGTTTCTGCCGCGGCTCCAGTAGCGACGATCAGATCCACATCCGACAATTCCAGTGATTGTAGGTTCCTACACGCTAGTAATCCTCACGACGTTGTCGGTGAGTTTTTGACTTATTGTAGTGGCCAATTGTCCAAAGAAAATCCATGTTCAAAGGCCACTTAGTCTAGGAGGCGAGCTCGAGTATTGACTCGCGTATATTAAAAAAATCAGATACCTTGCTCATTCCATTCAGGTGCTTTATTGAGAGGTTCAATAGATCAGCTGGCGGCCCACTGCCGACGTGCAACATTTGCACGGTATTTAAACAAATAAACAAACAAGATCCCTTGGTCATACGGATGTGTGCGGTCAAAAACTTTTTCCAACTGCCTCTCTAGACTTCCTGCTGTGTCATGCTGGCAGCGTCATTTATACCTGAGCACGCCCCTACTATTGCTTTGTATAAATAATAACAAAACATAAACTAGAGCTGTCCATAAGCAAGATGACACGTTACAAAAACAGTATAATAATAATTCATAGTTATTCAGCTCATTTAAGTTCAATTAAAAGAATATTCAATTGGCTCACAAAACCATAATTCATTACCATAAAATAATGTGCCTAAATGGCTCTTACACATATGTTTAAGCAAACTCATAGCTGGATACTGGGAACACAGGTTACTTTAATATTCATCGAAGGCCTGATTATTGAAGTTAGATTATTTAGGTCTCCTCTTCAGGTCTGCTTTCAAGACGCACACTCATTGTACCTTTCATTATCAACGCAGTGTAGCAAGTAAATGGGATCGTAATATTTCAGTGGAAAGAGATGAATGATTTAGAAAGGTCGAATACAAAGGAGAGTGGCTCTAAGCAATGAAAATAAATCAATGACTTATGGTATAAGAATAAAATACTATTTTTTTCTTAGCATTTTATGTATACTTAAAGGATAAGTGTCCTTCTTGAAATACAGTTTGTTATATATTTTCTTATTTCATTGCTGCAATTGGTTATCTTCCTAATGGCAACAAAAAGGAGTAACGGTCATTTCTGAAACTACATACATTTTTTTATTAATTTGTCCATAAAGAAAACAAAAAGATGGCTGACTGCTTAGAATTGTTTGTTTAAATTAATAAGTCATAAATACACACAGAAATATATTGAGTTTATGTGGATACATTCTTCTACCTCAAATATTTGTTTGTGGTCCTGCATTAACTTTTTCCTGTAGTTCAAAACAAAAAAAATCATAAATGTTTTATAATAAATAATAATATAATAAATAATGACACACTACAGTAATATAATTATTGATATTATTTTTCCAAACCCTTTAAAATCTAAGTGCTCTTATCATATTATATATTTAATAACACATAAATGGTTGAATGAGCCACCATGTGGGCAGCAACTATTACTACAGCTCTCAACCTGGCTATAGAATTAAACTACATCGCATAAAGAAATCTCTCAAACACATGTTCAAACTCATATATTATTTATTACAATTAAATATTTTTCTTATATTACAGAGGTCCATTTGAAACCATACAAATAATCTGTGCTGCGATTAATATTTCCAAGATATACAAAAAAAAACGCCATGCAAAGAATATGAACAGAAACTCACATCAGAAGACCCAAACGTCAGGTTTTTTGAACACCTGTGAATGAAACTAAATTCCTTAAATTAGTTTCGGTACCTTCCCTTCTCTCTCTCTTTTTGGTGCAAACATTTCTTTGCGGTGATTCAAGATCAGACCAGTGTCATTTTGCAAAAAATGAAAGGCATTTGGAAGGTAGGTAAAAAACAACAGCTAGTACTTCTCATCGTGGAAAACAGAGTAAATACAGGTTAATGGGAACAGGCACAGAGGACCAATTAAGACATACATTTCACAAAACTTGATTAAACAGAATTTGTTTGCTGAGTGATTCCTAAGGCCATAATGTGTACTGTGTGTGTGGTCTCGCACTCTAATCCAGAACGCCCCGGGGGAATTGAAATTGAAAAACCAAATTTAGTAGGCTATACCCAGTTCTGCTTTGTTGGATTGTGCTGTGTGGGCTGGGATACTGTACATCCAGCATCTTTCAAAATACAATACAATGTCTCAGTTGAGAAACGGTGACTGTAGTTTGGTACAGACCAATAACCTTTGGTTTGATTGAAATGGCAGGAACTATGCTTTTCATTACAGCCTAATGAATGAACAAATACTAACATATTAATCAGAGGAGGCTTATTTGAAAGTCAAATATTAAATCCATTTATAAATAAATTCAGCTTTTGTAAATTAACACACCAAAGTAATCTCCTCATCACATTGAACAGCAGGGAGTAAAGCAGAAGTAGCCCAAGATGTCTCAATTCATAGACCCCTCAGGCTTTTAAAGGGGGCTGTACATTGTTTGAAGTTCATGTAGAGCAGCACTTTTGTTCATACAAAGGATTCAAATGCCAATAAGCTTCAAATCAGAGACTTAAAACGTCTCAAACACTCCTGCTGCATTATCCATTTCCTCACAGCTTGAAGCTCTGCCAGGAAGTTGTGTCTTTTGTTTGAAACACAATGGGCTAACAGAAGGGACAGCTGTGAGGTGGATTATGATGAAGAAGTAGATTAGAAAAGTTTCTGTGGGCATTTTGATACTTTTTATTCCACCATGAAATCTTGTTATGAAATTAATTTGCAGCTGATGAAATTAAAATGTCAGCTGCTGTTCTTCAAGAAAAACTACAAATTCAGTCATTTTGGAAATAAATGTTCTTTTTTGTTGAGATAAATATAAAATCCAAACTACAATCATGTCTGTACGCTACAAATAAAACTACAGCCAACAGACAGTAAGCTTAAGATTGGATTTTTACAGGCAACAGGTTTAGAGATACTGATACATGGTTTTGTTACCTATACCAACAGAGCCAACTGATATGTTTCCACCTGCAGGCTTAATGCTAAGCTAGGCTAATTGAGTGCTGGCTGCAGCTTCATACTTAGCACACAGCTAAGACTGTGGTATTGTTCTTCTCATTTAACTCTTTACAAGAAAGGAATCAAGTGAATTTCCAAAAATATTGAACTGCTCCTTTAACAGATCTCTTTGAATATAAATCAAAACTTGGGCAGACTTGTCAAAACAAAAGTGTTGATGCCAGATCACAAGAATCTGACGGTGGAGGAATCTGGATCAGCACACCAAGTAGCTTCATGACCCTCCGGCTGACATCAGTACACATTTCTAAATGAAAGGCTGGGAATGTTCTATAAGGCAGCAAGATCAAGGGCACAGGCTAATGGCAAGGTAGGTTTAAATCATTGCAGCATTCAGCATTTAAAGGTGAAGAGGCAAAGCTTTATCATCTGAGGAGGAGTGACAGGAGAACGACAGGAAGCTGGGAGAGGCCAAGGTGCGTTTTGGTCCTGCAGGTTAAGCATCTTTAGTCATATGTTAGCAGGTGTCCTTCAAACTGTATCTAAGATCCTTCTTTATATGTCCTCAGAGGCCTTCAACATCTCAACACAACATGTAATAGGCTTGTATTGGGCAAGCAAGCTCAATCAGTCACAGAAGTACTATAGCAAAATAACTCACTAACTTTTATCTTTGACAGTGCAGCTAAGAAGGGGAGACATTCTCTCTAATCAGGAATGAAAGCCACTCATCTAACAGTATATTCTTTAAAATTATCTTTTGAAAATAAATTATATTTTCTCAGTACAGAAATAAATACATATTTGTCTCTCAAACATAGGAATGGATCATCATCACAGGTCTAAATGCTACACTGAATACATTACTCACCATCTCATCGGTGAAGAAACAAGAATATAAGTGACTAACTGATGCCATCTGCCACGAACACACACTCATCCAGATATATAAATGCAAATATACAGTTAGCTTTCACCGGAGTCATGTCACACCTCTGGCAAGCAGCTTTGAGAAAGTCAAATATTCCTCAGCATTGGCATAACAAAAATCCCTTCAATGCTTGGCTCATTGGACGCTGTCAAACAAACTGAAGTGTGCTTTGCTCCTAGAGTGCATGTCTGAACTGTGATATTGTGATAACCACCACTCTGGTGAATTGCAGGGTTACAATTATGTCATAAAACCTATACTTTTCTGGGAAAATCATGACAGGTGGAGCGAAAAAACGTCCACATTTCATTGTTGCTGTGCATGCACTTAGTCAGTGGTAATAAAGTACATTTTGAGTAATTTAAAAACTTCCTGATAAAAAAAAAGAAAGAATCTTCACAGCTGTGGTGAAAGTCCATCACCATTACATGTAAATATAAATGGCAAATAACAATCTCAAAGATCTCTATTTTGGTTTCTAGGGTGGAAAAAGGCGGTAGTCGTGGGTGGGTTTTTGGGGTATCACTGCTTATGGTTTTTAGCAGAGATGTTGATAGGGTAAGGGCTTTCGTCAGTGGGCAGTATGGTTAAACACAATTGTGTTACCTTATTAGGCAATAGTGACATATCATTTAAATGATCATCTTTGAGATTATTACTTTAAATTAAATAACTGTAAAATGTATTAAGCTAACTAACGATACTATTGATATCGATGTTTGTCTTGTAGATATGTAGCTGGATGCAGCAGCCAGTTAGCTTAGCACAAAGAGTGAAAAGAGGGGGAAACAGCTAGCAAGGCTCGGTTTATTGGCCCATTTTCAGTCTGTATGCAAAGCTAACTGATGCTGGCAGTACGGTTATTTTTACCATACTGACATAAGAGTGGCATTGATCATCTCATCCAACAAAAACTTTTCCTTAGAAAGAAACTTGAAAACCTCACTTGGTAGCTTTCCTGTAAGACGTCTGACTAAATCTCCAGCCACTGAAACCTCTTTCCTACTTCCAAAGGACTGATGCAGCTTGATATCAATATACTTTTACTTATATTTTCTTTAGATATGGCGTATCATCCAGACACATTAGTCTGATATCTGTCAGGCAGACAGTAAAATATTCACATGTAACATCAACCTCTCTTTATTACTATGAAATGTCACATTTTCTAGAGCTACAGTGGCATTTTCTACAGCAGAGTACGCCGCAGGTTGTTCACACAGCCGCTACGACACCACAGAGCCATGAAAGAGAAATACCATTACACTGCCATATAAACTCTCATACAATATGTCAAGCCATTACTCTTACTAAATAAATGCGTGGTATGTTATTTCAAAACAAAAAAAGCTCATGTCTCAATCCTTCATCCCTAAACTTCCAGTTCCCGTCACACAGGCAGCAGGTAGGTGAGTGGCTAATCAATTTTGTGGAGGATGCAGAACATTATCTCACGTCCCGTAGCGTTATGTGTCATGACCCGTCAGATGCTACTGCAGGTTCTTGAGGAGACGTCCGTAGCGGAAGTCGTAGACGTGTCGACAGAAAAACACCAGCTCTGGGTCGACGTCCTGGGGCACACAGTGGTGGGGGGGCATGGCGCTGCCAACAACGGGTGGCACCACCAGGGAGGCGGCACAGTCGCGCACACCATCCCTATGGCGTTTTACCAAGGCACAAAATCTGGAAAATCACAAAAACAGGACATCAAACTCAACCATCTTCAAAAAACATTTAGAGAAACAATTAAAATAACTTATACAGGTTTGAACTGTCTGAAACCTGAATAGCCTACTTTTTATTAAACAGTATGCATTCTTGAGCTTGAAATAAACAGCATTCTAGGATTTTCTCAGCAGGAATCTTTCTAAAGCAACATAGTGCAAAATAATATTCTCCAGAAAGATGCACCAAAGCCACCACAAGATGTTCATTCTTACCGACAATACTGTGCCAATGTAAGGACATAGCATTTGTCTTCAATACAGGCCACACTGTTCACATCCTGGTGACGGGACGCAAAGATTTCATTCTGGAAAAAAAGATTTGTTCATGTTAGCGTCAAACAAAACATAAAATCAACTTGGTTTAAACATCAGGTTAAGCCTTAAACAGTGATCCCATGTACACAGGGACTTTAAAATAAGAAATACATCTTCATTGTACACCAGCTGCTTCACTTCCACATGAAAAGACTCGCAGGAGAAAGATGTTTCTTCCTCTGAGTCAAAGCCCTGCTTCTGTTCTCATGCTGCTGCTCTGTTGTTTTTGTCGTTTGTTTGTACAGCCGAGAAATTACAGACTTGTTGTGGTTTATTGTTTTTATAGATTTATTAAAGTGCAACTTGTTCCACTGGGAGATCACTGATAACACGGAGCAAGCACAACAGAAGTTGCCTTTCAACATGTACGTCCGTTGTTTCAAATTCTTTCAAACACATTTCAATTTCTTAGTAAAGCCAAAATCTCTGAAGTCTTAAATTGTAATACCTTGTTTTGACGCAAACTCACACAGCATAAATAGGAAGAATTGAATGGGGAGAGTAATGCCTTATTCAGTTTCTCAGTACTTTCCAACTTCCTTTTTCTGTTTATGGATCACAAATATGGCTAAATGACGCACTGCGTGCTAATAGAACCGTCCTTCGGGCAGCAGAGCGGAAATGGTGGAAATCCAAACACCGTGACGACCTCCTAACCTATCAGGCTCTCCTCTCCTCTTTCTCTGCTTCGATCTCTCAGGCAAAAAGCACTTTCTTTCAAGATAAGATCCAATCTTCCTATTCCAATCAACTATTTTCCATCTTCTCCACCCTCTTGGACCCCCCCCAAAGCCCCTTCCCCCTCCTCCCTTCTGTCAAGCGACTTTGTTAACCACTTTGAAAAAAAGGTTGATGATATTCGCTCTTCTTTTTCTGACTCACCTCTACTCACCGCTGGGTCACCAGACCCTCCTTTCACCCACACACTAACCTCCTTTTCCCCTCTCTCTCCAAGTGAGGTTCTTACCCTCATTACCTCTGCCCGCCCTACCACCTGTCCTCTGGACCCTATCCCTTCAAACCTCCTTCAGACTATCGCTCCTGATATTCTACCGTTTCTCACCCATTTCATCAACACTTCTCTAACTTCTGGTCACTTTCCAAACAGTCTCAAGGAGGCAAGAGTAAACCCTCTCCTAAAGAAACCCACTCTCAACCCGTCAGATGTTATGAACTACAGGCCTGTCTCTCTCCTCCCGTTCCTGTCTAAATCACTTGAACGCGCTGTCTTTAAACAACTCTCCTGTTATCTCCATCAGAACAACCTTCTGGATCCGCACCAGTCTGGTTTCAAGGCAGGTCACTCCACAGAAACTGCCCTCCTTGCTGTCACTGATGAACTGCACACTGCTAAAGCAGCCTCCCTCTCCTCTGTCAACATCCTTTTGGACCTGTCTGTTGCATTCGACACGGTGAATCATCAGATCCTCCTTCGCACTCTCCTTCGCACTTGGAGTTTCAGGCTCTGCACTTTCCCTCCTCACCTCATACCTCAAAGACCGTACCTACAGGGTAACTTGGAGAGGGTCCGAGTCCGACCCTTGTCAATTAACTACAGGGGTCCCTCAGGGCTCTATTCTTGGTCCCCTCCTCTTCTCCTTGAACACAAACTCGCTCGGATCAGTCATTAGCCCGCATGGTTTTTCATACCACTGCTACGCTGACGACACCCAATTAATTCTGTCCTTTCCCCGCTCAGAGACCCAGGTCGTCGCACGCATCTCTGCTTGTCTAGCTGACATCTCTCAGTGGATGTCTGATCATCACCTCAAGCTCAACCTTGACAAGACTGAGCTGCTCTTCCTCCCGGGAAAAGATTGTCCCACTCTTGACCTAACAATCAACATTGGCACCTCTGTTGTTTCCCCGACTCAGACTGCAAGGAATCTGGGTGTGACCCTAGATAACAACCTGTCATTCACTGCAAACATAGCTGCTACAACCCGCTGCTGCAGATACACGCTTTACAATATCAGGAGGATGCGTCCCCAGCTGACACAGAAAGCGACGCAGGTTCTGGTCCAGGCTCTCGTCATCTCACGCCTAGACTACTGCAACTCCCTCCTGGCTGGTCTACCTGCATGTGCCATCCGACCTCTGCAGCTCATCCAGAATGCAGCTGCTCGCCTGGTCTTCAACCTTCCTAAATTCTCCCACACCACGCCGCTCCTCCGCTGCCTTCACTGGCTTCCGGTAACTGCTAGAATCCACTTCAAGACACTGGTACTTGCGTACCATGCTGCCAATGGATCTGGCCCTTCCTACATCCAGGACATGGTTAAACCGTACACCCCAGCACGTGCACTCCACTCTGCATCAACCAAACGGCTCGCTGCACCCTCGCTGCGAAGGGGACCCAAGTTCCCATCAGCAAAAACACGTGGGTTTGCTATCCTGGCTCCTAAATGGTGGAATGAGCTCCCCATTGACATCAGGACAGCAGATAGCTTACACACCTTCCGGCGCAGACTGAAAACTCATCTCTTTCGACTCCACTTCGAGCGATAGAACTATTAACAAAGCACTTATATACTAATAAAGGGCTGGCTTATCTAAAGCCAGTTGAGTAGCACTTGAAATGTTTTTGCTCTATGAAACCTGATGTACTTATATGATTCTGTTTTCGCACAATAAGTGCGTTCGACGTAGACGTAGCGACGTAGCGACTTACAATAAGTAAGTCGCTTTGGATAAAAGCGTCAGCTAAATGCAATGTAATGTAGTGTAATGTAAAATATATATTTTGTGTTATAAGTAATTTAGATTAATATGTATAGAATACATAATTTACGTGCAACAGGAAGATCTGTGACACAAAATAAACAACAGGGACAATGCTTATGATAATGAAGGGACATGTGGCTCATTGTTGTGTTTGAATCGTTTTCTGCAGCAATAGTGGTTATGACACAGACGAATAGGCAACATCAGGCTTTGAATACACAGACAAATCTTGAGTAAGTGGGATTATCTTATTATTGTTGTTATTGTAGAGCTTTCAGACAAAGAGAATAATAAAGAATATGTACAACCTTATCAATTCAATAAATTCTAAGTGAAGCACACTGATTCTGATTTACAAATGATTTGCACAGTAAACTGACGCTGTGTTTCAGGTGTACAGGTATATCATTTTCCATTTTCACCTGCCGACTACTCAGAAACCACTATTTCCAAAAGGTATACAAATATTTGCTTCTCAGAGTGTTTGGTGAGTGAGCTAGAAGATATTTATCACACCTCTTAGCACTCGAGCTTTCAGCTGCTACAGGAATTGTGGCTCCCAGGAAGCCAATTACTAAAACCTGTTTTGGACCTGTCCAAAAGTAAACACTCTGGTGTAAGATTTATACAGAATGACTGACTATATTTGGGATGAAAAATATCATTTAATTTGGACAAACTTCCTTTTGGGCTTCTACATTAAACATCCACAAATACCAAAACTAAATATGTATTTGGAATACAGAGTACAGCTGCGAGATAAGCAATTTCAGAGAATTGCTTAAAGCCTGAAACCCAATCCATAAAGGACTGTTAGAAATCATTTTAGAAAACCTGTAATGGGACTATGAATATGAAGGAATGTGTGGAAATCTACTATTCCCCGCAAGAAACATCCTGTTTTAAAATTACATTTTTATTTATGTGTTCTATAATAGCAGCGTAAAAAACAGATTGATCTTTCTGTAATGGTGTCTTACTAAAGATGACTGTGTGATCTGCTGCAGTCATGTGATGCCAAAAAATAAAAAAGTCTACAAAGGATAATCTCACCTCACAATGAACACTTGGGTTGCGTCCCCCCTGTGTGTGTTCTGGACGGTAGTACCAAAACAAACTCATCATCAGCTCTCCTGCAGAAAAACAAACAACCACACACACAGTTCACCACCACGCTAGAGCCAGTTATTACAGCATTAACTCAGCTCCTCCTGTGCCGTGTGCAGCGTGTGTCCTACCTGACTCTGGCTCCTCCCACAGAGCTGAGATCTTGGCCACGAAAGGCAGAGACTTCTTTCTAGGTCCAGATTTCAGCAGAACAGTGTCTCTGACCCGAATGAGCTCCCCGTCCCTCTGGACCCCCTCGAAGCACTTCCTGGGCACCAGCGCCTCCTCTCCCTGTAACACGGGCAGCAGAAATACTGACTCCTCAAGCATCCACACACTGATGAGCTGTGAGAGGCTGTGGAGTCAGAAAAAGCTCCAGGATGTGATTTGTATTGAGTGTGTCTCAGCAGAAATGTCGACAGACAGGTGTTTGGACCAAACTCAAGAAAACAGTGATTGAGCTCTAATGAGACAATAACACAAGTGTGATAGATCATCCCAAACGATCTTACGACAGGCAGAGATGTAACTAAGTACATTTACTCAAGTACTGTACTTAAGTCCAATTTGGAGGTACTTGTACTTTATTTGAGTATTTACATTGATTTGATACCTTTAGTTACTTGAAGATTTGGATTAATGATATGAAATATAATCAACACTGAAATAACATTTTAGTTACACCTGGAGTCAAATTCACAAGCTACCCTGCAGTATACAAAGTACTTAAAACTAGCTGCTCTTTTACCAGCTCTGATAACACTTTAATGCATCAATAATTATAATCAAAACATATGACTTATATTATTCTGAAATGGGCCAATATGCATAGCGAGTACTTTTAATTTTGGTAATTTAAGTATATTTTTATGCTTAAAACTTTCCTACTTTTACTTGAGCTACATTTGATTGCAGTACATTTAACTGTAACAGAGTATTCCTACACTCTCCTTCTCCCTCCTCTGACGACAGTCAAGTTAAACGACCCAACGTGTAATTACAAGCGGCACCTTGGTGGCTGTGTCAGAAAGCACCAGCATGACTTTCTCTACGTACCACAGAGAAAACCTCCCTCTGAAAGGGCAGGCCGACTGGCTGCCAGCCGTTGGTGGATTTTTGGCGGCCGTTCTTCTGCTGCCTGGCAACCGCTCGCCCTCCAACACTGGCAGCGCGGAGCTTCTGCTTCTTGTCCCTGTTGAGGAGGCAGACAGCCGAGCTGAGGCCGTCACTGCCGCCAGACCTCGACCCGCTGGGCGACTTGGCGCTCTGCTGACTCTCCTTCGCCACCTTCGAAGGAGGCTGCGGTTGGCTGGGGTCGGACAACGGAGAATGAACGTGGGGCACTGATTGGCCGGCCGCAGGCACAGTGGGAAAGGGGCAGCCAGTGAGGGTTCTGGGGCTGGGACAGATGGGGATGGAGGAGGGACTCTGATGGTCGTTGAGGGTAGACGGATAGTCGTCTGAGGAAGCAAGAAAAGAGGCAACATAATGAAGTGTGAGACACAGTCCTTGAAGGAGCAGCTACAGTGATCAACAAGCTTTAACAAGGTTACGTAATAGAGGCATGAATGACACTCAGTTGTTATTAGTTCCGCTGAAGCAGCAGAAATAACAAAAAAAAGCCTCAATTATAGCCACACACACACACACACACACACACACACAACACACACACACACACACACACACACACACACACACACACACACACACACACACCACACACACACACACACACACACACACACACACACACACACACCACACACACACACACACACACACACACACACACACACACACACACACACACACACACACACACACACACACACACACACACACACACAGTGAAGCTGACAATGAAAAACACCAACATTAACATTAACTGTGTGAAATAACGAGATCAGGTTGTGCACACTCCCATGACACAGCTGCGGTGATGACATTAAGTTGAATTAACAGTCAATTTATTCGAACTGGATCTGTCAGCTTCCTGGATCCAGAATCTTCCTCCATGGAGAATGCATTAAGGTTAGACATCAAGCTGCTTTGGTTTACTGATGGCCAACTGCACCATTAGCAAATATCTGTGACATATATGTTAAGGGTTAAGGTACTTCTTGGATACACACACAACTAAATATGTATCTAATGAGTATCAATAACATAATTATCTGTTTTCAAAGGACTACTTAAAGAGGGAGACATTTTCCTTTTACTCCATTTATTTGACATTTCATAGTCTGCAAATGATGTGCTAACCCTGTCATTTCTGATGTATTGCAATAGAGTTAATTATACAGTGGCTTAACCTCAAGCAGCTACAAGATTACAATGCTGCTTTCACAATATTGACTAACCTGTGGGTGGTTTTACTCCTTATGCTTTAGGCAATTATCACACAACTTGGTTGAAGGGTGTAGCATGGGTCAAAGAACAACCTCTAACATTTTTCAGTGGATGCAAATCATGCAGCGGATATACAAATTATGTTTCAACACACTCTCACTCCCTAAGCGTCCAGGAGCGACGTTTGGTTAGTGTCCGTGGCGTCCAGTTGTGACGCTCCTAGGCTCCTTCAGCGTCATAAAGGGACGCAAATAGCTTTCAACTGATTGCAATGTATTCCCATCTGCGGCGGGATTTGACGCTCATGGAAGCACGCCATTCGTTTGTGTCGGCTGCCCTTAAAGGCAATGTGAGCGTCCATTCCCATTGGATAACGGAGAATTGTACACCCGGAAGTAAGTATTCCTCTTACTGTCGATTGATTTTACAGTGATATCTGCACTACTCATCGACTAAAAAACACCAGATTATCCTTGTTAATTACACAACATTGATTGGTTTAAATTGTGTGCAATGCTTTTGTATTTTCCCCCTTCGATTCGGAGAAAAAGATATGTTTTCGGAGTAAAGGATGGCAGAAGACACTACACTACCCAGAATCCCCAGCTATCGTTTGGACTACACCATGTGCTCTGTTTGACAAACCCTGTTTTTTTCACCATTCATTCCAATGGCTGGCGTCTATGTCACGAGATCTTCAAATTTCTCCCTGCAGAAAAAGAAAACATGGCCGAACTTCGTTTTATTCTCGGTGGAAAATGCCTATTTTAAAGTTAGTTTGGCCATTAAAATGCGTTTTGATGTCATTTGATGCGAGAAATATGAGTTGTTATTTCAGATTATGTGTGCAGTGGATGTACATGATCTTTAGTTTGCTAGTTATTATGAAGATTACTTCAGGAAATCGCGACGTTTTCATTGTTACCAAGGTGGTTGCTAGGGACGCTGCTATCGATATTATTTCTGTTATGTTGTGTAACTGTTTAATGGTGTTATCTTTATTGCTACCCCCTTCCCCGTCAATGTATAGTGTTGGTCCACAGCGCAAACATATTAGTTTAACAAAATCCGCATCTAAAGATAGCCTACATTATTTTCCCCTGTGCAATTCCAGTCTCACATCTCACAGCACATCGTCATTAACAAATACCGGAAACAGACCGAAAACATTTAAAAAAATAAAAATAATACTTTATTCCGAGTGTGCTTGCTTTTCTCTTTGGAAGTCATCACATAACGGCATTGTAATACACGGTTCGGCTGCATTAAATATTACATATCTGCCGTAGTTCTGTATTTATAGAGCCCTGATGAGAAGACTTCTAGACAAACATGAGGAACTGAAAACGTGACGTGGATCATAAATATATCAGCCATTAAACAACATCTTACATTTATTTTCACACAATACGTCTCCTTGCAGTATCAACACTAATTCGGCTGAGTTTTATATTTGATCCAATTGGTAGATAGGCTGTATTTACACCATAAAGGTGCACAGCTGATATAAAGGGACACCTAGTGCTTAAAGCATGTTATTGAATTTCATTATTTTTATTATTAGATATTAATAGGATCCCTATAAAGTATATTCATTACTCGTTATTCTCTACTAATAGTTAATTAAAGACTGTATATAATGACTATTTTGCACATCCCTTTCAAGAGTTCAAGATTTTTTAAGGTGTATTGACATATCATATAGGCCTACACAACTATGGTGTAGTTCTGCATTGAATGAAAAACTTGGGTCACAGGTTCCTCAATAGTGCATTACAAGACATCTATCAATATTTGTGCATACCTCCAGCAATGTTAACTATGTTGAAGCACTTATTTTAACTGATATTATACATAATGTATTATACTCTTATAAGATGTATGTAGATATTTCATCTCTGGCGTTGTCAGGTATTGAACAATCAATAAATAAAGAACACAGAATTGTTGAATATAAAACACAGAATTTGTGTGATTATACTAAATGATTTACAAATAAACACCACTGCATATTTAACTGTTACACATGCTGATGTAACGCAAATGTTCCAACTTGGGATCAATAAAGTATATCTTATCTTAAGCTGATCGATGGCTACTGCCATATTTGCACAATTTTCCTCTGAACCTTGACAAGTGCATGTTTCAGGCTTATCAATTAATGTAATGTAATGTAATGTAATGTAATGTAATCAATTAACAACAGGGGTCACAAACATAAGACCAGCTGTTAAATAAAGCTCTTCTGACCTTAGCTGGCATGTGTGTATATATATTAATGCTGCCCATTATGGGCACAAGCTATTTTCACCCATTTATTAATTATATGTTTTAAATTTGAGTGTTTCCTATCCCCTAAACCTCCAGGGATGTACACAGTTTAATACTGGCAACTTCTTATTATGGGAAATACGAAAACGTCTTTTAAAACTACAACTCCCAGTAGAGACGTGCCATAGATAGAGAACATGTTGCGAAACAGAATAGCCAGCATGTGTAGTTCTGGGGACGGGGTGGGGGAGGGGGGGACGCGGTGGACCCGTTCAAATCCAGTTTTGGACAGTCTGGTGGTTCCATCCCATTTCAAGTGCTGTTCGAGAATCGGCGTAACCCTCGGAGCACACTCTCCAATCACAGAGCTTGAGGACTATCACAGGGTTTGTCAAACAGAGCACATGGTGTAGTCCAAACGATAGCTGGGGATTCTGGGTAGTGTAGTGTCTTCTGCCATCCTTTACTCCGAAAAAATATTTGTTTCTCCGAATCGAAGGGGAAAAATACAAAAGCATTGCACACAATTTAAACCAATCAATGTTGTGTAATTAACAAGGATAATCTGGTGTTTTTTAGTCGATGAGTAGTGCAGATATCACTGTAAAATCAAAGAGGAATACTTAATTCCGGGTGTACAATTCTCCGTTATCCAATGGGAATGGACGCTCACATTGCCTTTAAGGGCAGCCGACACAAACGAATGGCGTGCTTCCATGAGCGTCAAATCCCGCCGCAGATGGGATTACATTGCAATCAATTGAAAGCTATTTGCATCCCTTTATGACGCTGAAGGAGCCTAGGAGCGTCACAACTGAACGCCACGGACACTGACCAAACGTCGCTCCTGGACGCTTAGGGAGTGAGAGTGTGTTGGTTTCACCTTAATTGCAAGAAAGAGCATTTGTGCTGCATCCATGTGGTGTAATCAGATATCAATGTGTCCTTTAAACTATCTGAGCAATATAAAGTACAACACAAAATCCAGTTGTTACCACATAACTACTTCAAGCTCCTGAACACACCATAGTCGAAGGAACTTCTCAATAGTGGAAAAGAGACCATCCGAGGACCACCTGAACGCATCATTTATCTTGGCAGAGGTATCTCTCCAATAGCTCTCCAAGTGTAATTTTACTTTTGGCTAAAACTTGAAGGCCCTGCAAGCAGTGTTTCCGCCAGACAAGGGCTGAAGGGCGTCCACCCCGAGAGCGTGCTCCACTAAAACCCCCCCGCTCATCGCGTCCAAATCGCGCACGTTCCGTGTTGTCCTGTAGCAGGCACCTTCGATGTCGGGGGAACAATCTTCAATACTCCGAAAAATAATCCCACCAGACTCCTTTGCCCCTCCAACAGAGGGATGTCCTTGTCCTTTTTCCTTTTCGTCATTTCAAGCGATAAAAACTCTCGATCTTCTCTCGAATTATTAATATTTTTTGGACACCCTCGGCTCGCGTTCAGGGCGTCCCGAGCTGAATAAGAGCGTCAAATGACGGCAAGACGGCCCCCTGGCGGAAACGCTGCCTGCAAGCCCTCACAGGGGTTCAACTTGGATTATTAGACCTCTGCTCAGGTGACTGTTGGCCATGAGGTCCAAATAAGGTGAGAGTTGATTTGATCCAACAGGTGCGACCAAATGAACAGGAGGGGCGAGGCAATGCCAATCAATTCTGCACCCTCCCACTCAGTGCTGAGAGGAGGTGTAATCAGACAGTGTCAACACCTGTGTGGGTGGACCACAGGCATGTTCACAGCAGACATTTTGACTGGTCATGGCAGGAAAACCACAGGTGTTACTTACCTATAATAACAATGGTGCTGTTCCATTCAAAACACGCCAACATGCACAATACCAAGATTCAGAACGCCTAATTCTATTATTTACACCTATGCTCTCTCCCACTGTGCCATGTCAAAATGTCTTCTATTAAATCTATTTTTAAAAACCTAAAGAGTTTGTGGAGCTCTCGTCGAACAACACTCTCAGCCTTCACAGCCTGACCTGCTTTTGGCTGCTGCAGACCACAGGAAGAGAGAGAGAGGGAGAGAGAGAGGGATAGAGAGAGAGAGGCCCAGCAGTACACTGGTGTGTGTTCACGTGTAATTGGTGTTGTTTTGAGGTCACATTCAGGTGTTTATAACCGTACACCCACACACTCAGGCAGGCACACAGTGTTTGTGTGCTATACCCCAGACTTCACAAATAGTTTTCCTGTTCTGGTTCACTTCTCTGATTTGAACTCAGTGACTAACTGCTGACACTCGAACTCATACAATCAGCTCAGCTGCACAGGCCTTGTATCCACCGTCCGGTTGCTTGCATTCAAACGTAGACAAAGGGGGTCTTGTCCTTTATTGGATATTTTTGTGTTGCCTCCCACTCAAGTGACATTCTAAAAATGGGAGATTAAAAATGCCTTGACATAAAAGCTATTCTCAGCACATTGTACTGCTTTGACAGCTGGATTGGGGGGGGGGGGCATACAAAAAAACGAATAACTATAGTGTACTCATGAATGTTTAATACTTATTAGGAAAATCTTACTGTCTGACTGTGATGGCTGAGTACATTTACATAAAGCTATTTTCTTTGTCAGGGAGTTCAACTTGTGAAAAATATTTGTTTTACTGTGAAGGAAGCTCATGTTGGAGCCAAGAGTTTAAAGATATTGGCATTTATCAGGCAAGGGAAGTCTATTGAGTTGCATTATGGGGAATGTAAGATACCCCATTAAGTTGGTATTTCACTACATCACTGCCACAATATACTCTGCAACAGCAATACATATACAGGATAATCTATAAGGAACTCAAAAATAAAATACAATTCATACTTTTTTCCTTTTGCTGTACTGAGGCACTTGTGAGTGTTGTTACATAAGTGCCATCAAGAAGACAGATACTAGTGCATTAAAGGTGGGGTAGGTAAGTTTGAGAAACCGGCTGGAGATACACTTTTTGTTATATTCCATGGAATGCTCTTAACATCCCGATAGCAATAAATATCTTAAGTGCTTTGACAAAAAATCCATAAAAAAATGTCATCTGTGGAAGCCGTGGTACTGTAAAAAGCATGACCAATCATTTTAGCCGGCCCGTCTAAAGTAACTGGATGGCCTACCTGCCTGTCAGCCTTCCATCTGTGCACAAACTTATCTCGTGCCCTCATTGGTCATGTGCGCGTTCGTGTGTGTTGGAGGATGGGCTCTGTAAGGAAGTGGCAGATTTTTTCCAGCTGTGTATTTTCAAATTGTAGTGCACTCGAGCTGGTTTCTCCAAAATTACCTACCCCACCTTTAAAGTGGACCTATCATGCTATATTTGAATAATATATTGTAGGGCCATACCTATATAAAACATGTCTGTGAATTTTTTTTTTCAAAATACCAAACAGATCATGCATTTTAGCCATGCCTCATTTCGCTCTATTTGCTCTATTCCAGCCCTGTTTTTGCAAGGGCTGATTCTGTGGCAAATGAGCTGCAGCTGACCACGCTCCCCTGCAAAGGAGGGGGGCGAGCGTCATGTTACCATGCTGTTACCATGCCACGCAACCTCTCATTCCCCTGATAGGCAAGGCAAGGCAAGGCAAGGCAAGGCAAGGCAAGGCAAGGCAAGGCAAGGCAAGGCAAGGCAAGGCAAGGCAAGGCAAGGCAAGGCAAGGCAAGGCAAGGCAAGGCAAGGCAAGGCAAGGCAAGGCAAGGCAAGGCAAGGCAAGGCAAGGCAAGGCAAGGCAAGGCAAGGCAAGGCAAGGCAAGGCAAGGCAAGGCAAGGCAAGGCAAGGCAAGGCAAGTTTATTTATATAGCACTTTTCAACACAAGGCAATTCGAAGTGCTTTACAAAAAATGAAAGAGATTAAGAAAATGGCATTTAAAATCAGTCATTAAAAAGAAAAGCTAATAAAATAAACATTAAAAGAAAAAATACATGGATAAAAGTTACAGTGCAGTCAATTAAATATTAAAAGAAAAAAAAGTACATGGATAAAAGTTACAGTGCAGTCTAAGATATGAATAGTTCAATTAAAAGCAGCGACAAAAAGAAAAGTCTTCAGCCTGGATTTAAAAGTAGTCAGAGTTGTAGCGGACCTGCAGGTTTCTGGGAGTTTGTTCCAGATATTTGGAGCATAATAACTGAACGCTGCTTTACCATGTTTAGTTCTGACTCTGGGGACAGATAGCTGACCAGTCTCTGAAGACCTGAGAGATCTGGATGGTTCATAATTTAGCAGGAGGTCAGAAATGTATTTTGGGCCTAAACCATTCAGTGCTTTATAAACCAGCAGCAGTATTTTGAAATCTATTCTTTGACACACAGGAAGCCAGTGTAAAGACTTCAGAACTGGAGTGATGTGATCCACTTTCTTAGTGTTAGTGAGGACTCGAGCAGCAGCGTTCTGAATTAGCTGCAGCTTTCTAATAGATTTTTTAGTGAGACCTGTGAAGACACCATTGCAGTAGTCAAGTCTACTGAAGATAAAAGCATGGACAAGTTTTTCCAAATCCTGCTGTGACATTAGTCTTTTAATCCTAGATATATTCTTTAGGTGATAGTAGGCTGATTTAGTAACAGTTTTAATGTGACTGTTGAAACTCAGGTCAGAGTCCATGACTACACCTAGATTTCTGGCTTTATCTGTTGTTTTGAGCATTGCAGACTGAAGCTCAGCGCTAACTTTTATACGTTCTGACTTGGCTCCAAAAACCATTACCTCAGTTTTATCTTTGTTTAATTGGAGAAAGTTCTGACACATTCAGTCATTGATTTGTTCAATGCACTTACTCAGTGTTTGAATTGGAGCATAATCTCCTGGTGAAATTGTTACGTACATTTGTGTGTCATCTGCATAGCTATGGTAACTTATTTTGTTGTTCTTCATTATCTGAGCCAGTGGTAGCATGTAGATGTTAAAGAGAAGAGGCCCCAAGATGGAGCCTTGAGGAACCCCACATGTCATATTTGTCAACTCAGATGTGTATTTACCTATAGAAACAAAGTTGTTTCTGTCCTTTAAGTAGGATTCAAACCAATTCAGAACTGTTTCCGAAAGTCCCACCCAGTTTTCCAGTCGGTCTAGTAATATGCTGTGGTCAACAGTGTCAAACGCAGCACTGAGATCTAATAATACTAACACTGAAGTTCTGCCACTGTCTGTGTTTAAGTGGATGTCATTAAAGACCTTTACAAGAGCAGTCTCAGTGCTGTGGTTTGGACGAAAGCCTGACTGGAACACATCAAAACAGTTATTTAAATGCAAGAAATTACTCAACTGTTGAAAAACAACTTTTTCAATGATTTTACCTAGAAATGGGAGGTTTGATATGGGCCTGTAATTGTTCATTACTGAAGCATCTAGATTATTCTTTTTTAAGAGCGGTTTAATGACTGCAGTTTTTAGGGCCTATGGAAAAATACCTGAGTGAAGAGATTTGTTTACTATATGAAGTAGATCTGAGGCCATGCAAGGCAAAACATCTTTGAAAAATCCTGTTAGAATAATATCAAGGCAGCAGGAGGAGGATTTCAGAAGTTGAATAATGTCCTCTAGGTTTTTATCATTAATCTGATGGAATTGTGTCATGATAGGTGGAGAGTTGCCCATATAGGCGGAGCCCCTTGTTTCTGACGTCAGAGATATTTCAAATCTGTATCAGTCTGTATCAGATCCGTTGCAGCCCCGTTTTTAGAGATTTGGGTATGGAGGAAAAGAGAGAGGGTTGTGTTTTCTGACACTTGGTGAGTTCCCTGACACACCGGGGACACATTCATGTATAAAAGACGTACAAACGTGCATTTTGCATGATAGGTCCCCTTTAACTCTTCTTTTTCAACAACAACAAACCAACACACTGCTGGAGATTGAAAAAAAGTAACTCTGGTAATATTAATATTCTGTCCGCTCACCTTTTTTGATGCCGTTGTTACATTTGGTGCAGTCTGCAGGGCTTACGGAGCACACTCCTCTGGCGATGGCTGGAGTCACATTGGTGTAGGTGGAGTAGCGGTTGAGCCTGCAGGGCTCTCCGTAACACGCCTCCACCGAGGAGCAGCAGTACACTGGGTGGGTGATCCCTGAGGGCTGTGGACCCTTGCTGGGGAGCAGCTTGGGCCTCTTGTCGCTCTTGGAGCACAAAGCCGGGGGCGATATGGGAGACTGTGAGGAGTCCTGATGGCTGAAGTGGACGTAGTAGCTGGGGAAGCAGGTGTACGTGTGCGGGCTGATGGTTATGGGCGCTGGGTGGGTTACAGTGTGAGGAGACTGAAGATGGTGGTGGTGATGATGGTGGTGGTGATGGTGGTGGTGGAACACCTCTGATAGCGAGCCGTCCTCTGGTTCCTTGAAGGTCTTGTCGTCCAGGAAGAGGGCCAGTCGGTGGCAGTACTCCACACACCTCTCCTGGGAGCAGCAGTAGCATGAAGACACCTCAGACTCCACCTGTTCCTCTTTGATTGTTTTCACGGAGAATCCCAAAGAGCCACGCTGGAGCTCATGTTTAAGACACTCCCGTCCTCCTGTGCTGCCCTTCCACTCTGGATCTGCGATTTTACACAAACTACAGCAGCCCTGCGAGTCTGGCTGGGAATGCACCGGATCCTCTGTACCCTGTTTTATGTGCTTTGGTTGGTCCACATGTTTGGGATTTGTTGTTCTTTTGGTCAGTGTTGTTTCTCCACACACTGGTTTACTTATATCATCCTGAGTCGTAGCTGCTGCTTGGCTCCCACTCACTGGCTTGGACTCTGTCTTCTTCTGCCGTTTGGTTCCATACGTGGAACTGGTGAGTTTGAGCAGCGTTGCAGCAGTGAGGCCCGCCTGACGCCGAGGCGTTGGCGCAAACAAAGCCAACCAGTCGATGTTCTGAGCCTCCACCTTTGACCGCCTCTGTTTTTTAGGTCTCTCTTTAGGGTCTGCTTTCCCTCCTGGGGAAACCTTTTTGGTTTTAAGACCTTTATGTTCAGTTTTAGCAAGACTATCTTTAGCTTTATCTTCATTAGAAGGCTGTCGTTTCTTTGTGAGATTTGACGCATGAGAGTTGTTTCTGTAGAGCAGCAAGCTGTTGACAGCCTCAGCATTGAGAGACGCCATTCTCCGCTGTCGAGGCTCGAAGAAGGGGGCGGGAAACATGGGTAAGGCGTCAGATTGGTCGATTTTTGGTTCCAGTGCTTGCTGATCGGCTGTGGACGTTTTCTTTAATCCAGATTTGGTCCTTCTTTGACTGGAGCTGGAATGCAGCTTTTTCTTTACTTTTACCCTCTTTTGTTTTCCATCTTTTGGTGCATCCTTTACTTTACCCACAACCCCTTTCTCCTCCAGACGGGTGAGCAGGACGCAGCAGTCCAGTGCATCCTTGTCACTGACTGCCAGTGTCTTCTTCTTCCTATGTCGATGTGGCTCTTTCTTATGCTTCTTTTTTCTATCGCTCAACTCATTCTTTCTGTCTTTCCCTTTTTTCAAGCTGACGCCTTTCTCCTTGCTTTCCTTCTCTTTCCGGGGCTTTCCACATTTCACAGCCTGAGCTTTCACCATGGTCTCAGCGTCCAGAGGCAGAGCAGCCGCTTCCTCTTCATTCACAAGTCCTACGATGGAGGGTTTTTAGCTCAAAGCGAGCCTGCAGCGAGCATCCTCATGGATCATCACCTGGGTCCATACACTCTCTGGGGAGACACAGATCAGACATTTAACTGTAAAGCTTAAGCCCCACAAAGACAAGAGACTTTGCAAGTAACAGACAGGATCTTTTGATGCATTATTTAACAACCGGTTTTACTTAGTTTGCTGTCAATATGCAGTACCCCAGAGAATATGACCACTTAGACAACCTTTCTCCTTGACATGCAAATCCAGTGCACACACGAGATGGAAGAGAAACTGAGATAAAGAGAACATTATGTAACGTAATGCCTGAGGCTGTATGTACTCAAACCTCTTTCCCATTTGTAAGCCCTGTCTCATTTTAAAATTTGCTCTTTTTTTTGCTCTAAAGATATTCTTTATTGAGTCATGGACGAAAGCGATTTTTTTCAAGATGATGTTTTTATGTTGACCAATGGATTAGATCATTTAATCGACAAATCTGTAAAGCTGAGTTTCTCCACAAATAATCATGCAAAAGCACTTCATCTTGTTTGGCTTTCTTGGAAATAAGCTTCACAAAGAAGCATAAAAAACGATGAAAGAAATCAAAGACTACGATAGCCAATTAGTTGTCTGACTGACAGAGAGGAGGCAGCCCTCCTCATCATGTATTCATTATGTAATCTGTATTGCCTGCACCTTTGGAATAAGGATTGCAGTCAAATTAAAAATTAAAAACGATTGCCTTTTCGCCTGTGTTTCAATAAAGACCATATTTGGGTCCTTGAACCTATGTTGAAGCACTTTGATGACTCACACAATCCAGCAGGAGCTCAATATTACAGGCATTCACCCACTCAGGGCTAACACAGAGAAGCGCAACGCAGAAACAGATGATTTAGGCGATGCATTTAATGTTTGATATGATGGATGCTTTTAGAAGTGATCTCCATAGCCACAGCCTGTAGCTGAACTCTGTGACTGGCACTGTGGCTTACCCAATAGTAAGAAATAATTAAATTAAATATATCAAAGACTGTTTCACATTGACAAAGAGAATGTTTCAATTTCTAAGAGGTAAAAAAAGGCCAGCGAATGCTTTGAAATAACTGCGAGGTATTGCCATTCTTCAACATTTGGAGTCACAAAAGCAAACAGTATGATCAAATGACTCATGAATTGATACTTATTTCACCAAAACTGGCGGAGGAAACACTTGTCGCACAAAAGCCTCTTCAGTTTCCATGTCAACAGGCTGGTACAGAGCACATCAAAGCACCTCCAGCAACTTTATAGTAGAAGTTGCATATTAAGCTTTACGATCCTCTGTAATGCACACTTGTCTTCCTGCTCTTGCAACACAAAAAAAGATGTCTTCCCTTAGGAGAAAACCTTTAAAGTTCCCTATGACTCAACTGCCAGTGACCTTTATTCAATGACACTCCTGCGCGCAGCATAACGAGATGGATCATCCTTCTTGCTGCAGCCATGAAACACAATTATGCCACTTGACCTCCAAGAACTAAGTCAGCATGGGACTTTTTATATTAAGTGACTTCAGCCAGTTAGCCACTAGCCACTGTTCAGAAAGGACTGGGTATGAATCTCTGCTTTCATTAACACACTCAACAACTGCACATGTTTTTTTTCATCTATGAAATTAGGAAGTATTGATAAATCTGCATGTGAATAACATTTTTCAAAATAGCAAAAATATACTTCAGAGTTTCTTAGAGCCCATGTTGATATCTGAAGTTGAAATATCTGGTTTCCTTCAACAATGGTCCACAACCAAAATATATCAAATTGAACATTAGAGGCACACCATAAATCACACTGGAAAAACTGTAACTATATCAATTACATTTAAGAAATTGATTAAATGATGAATTCATTGTGATCATCAAATAATCTGCTTCAGCACTAAATCCATAGAACAGTATACATGTGAGATAATATAGGAGGAAAAAGTTGGGCCGTCTCCTATCAGCAATATATGAGGCAGATGATCATGCCCTACTGTCGGTGTAAACTGAAATTTTGAGCAACAATGATAAAGTGATTTCTTATAGTTACCAACTTAACCTTAAAACGACTAAACACAACACAGCTGATTTCTGCTGCAGTTGCTTTTCCACATACCATATTCCATTTCCTCTCCTGTCTCTACATTATGATGTTTGTTAGAGTTATAAAAAAGTATTCCTCAGCCATTCAGTCAAGATACACACATCAAAAAGAGAATGATGACGGGATACAACTCATATTCTGCTAAAAACTGTTTCTGCACTGCATAATAATGACCAATCCATTAAACAGCGGATTATTTGTGCATTTGAGTGATGAACACAACTTCATCTCATCACCAAATATGAAACAAATTATCATTACAACTTTCTGTCCTGTCACACCTAATGAAAGCTTAGAGAAAGTGATTGAAGTGCAGAAAGTGTTGAAGTGCTTTAGTAACAAGAAGAAGGCCGTGTGAGAAGTTTTATTCTGTTTCTCAATATATCTTTTTTTTCTGCCACACTAGAACCAGAACAACCCTCTATCATTTCATGGCATCTTACATTTATTGAGAACATACCCAGTTGAGTTGCACCACAATTGCAAACCTACTTTGACTTTGGAGTGGTCACAACTCTCTGGCTGGACATTTTCACAACCGTCTCGTAGCTCTGTCTTCACTTATTGCCGTACGACTCTGTGAACCGTGAAATGCAATCCATGAGAGCGAAATTTAATTTCAGGATAACAAGAGGACAGAAGGAGCCTCACATTGAGTTTCTGTCTGCGGATATCAAATCTAAATGCTTCATTTGAATAAGACAAGCATGCACAATGGAAGGACAGGAGCTCATTTGTGAGCATCGTATTGTTATTACTGACTAGACCTTCCCCTCACCGAACACAACAAGAGGTTATTACTTGGGTCGGATGCTTACTTGCTTCTTCATGTGGTTAAGGAAATCAACAAAAGATAGTAGCACGCACCGAACACACACAAAGCCAAACCTTTTGGGACTACCCAATCCATGGTAAATACTTCAATGTTATACAATATAAGGAACCACTGATTAATGGGTGACTACTTCTCCTTTCTCATTACTTCTAGAAACCTTTGGTAAACTGTAAAAAGGAGATTGTGTCTTCATTTTTCTTTTTATCTTTAGTTTTTTCGGCAGAAATAATGAAATACCGGACGCTTGATCTGGTTGGGTCAAGGGTTTAAAAATCTGATGGGTCAGGAGATACCTAATGGGAGAAGACAGAAAAACAAAGAAACGTTTAGGTTTATTTTCCAGGATTTTCTTTACCTAACACTTCCCTGTGTTCGATTTTTATATTTGATGTTGTAATTTATTGTCTTCTGTTTACATCGGTAGGAATGTGTTATTTATTATCTGCATGTGCAGCACTTTGGCTCGACCGAAAATCGTTTTTAAATGTGCTATAGAAATAAAATGTGATTTGATTTGATTTGATTTAACCTTTTCTTGTGAAATAATGGACACTTTCACCGTTTCAGGCAACATACGCCAGATAAGATGGAATCAGTCATTTAAATCAGTGTTTCACAACATATTTGGCTCCCCAATTTGTGATCTCCTCAAACGACTAATTTGATAATCGATTAATCTATCGATTAATTAAACGATTAATCGACTATTCGGACTATTATGCCTTGCACAATTTCTCTAACGCTCTTTTAGCCATCAACTTTTAGATTTAGCTTGAGGTTGTTTAGGCATGTGGAAACTAACAATGAAGACAATAAAGATGAATACTTGATTCAAAAACACATATATTATTAAATTAACTAAACTAAATTAACATTGCTTTTTATTTAATTAAATAAATAATATTTCACATCAAAAGAAACAACAATATTTTAACAAATCGTATTAAATAATGTGATGACAGAATTGGAAACAGAATAGCTGAAACTTTAACAAAATAAATAACTCAGTTATCTCTAATCATCAACCAATGTTTGTATACTTTTGTTAACTGCGTGTGTTGCCGTTACTCGTGAGTCGTGGATGGGGCTACAGTAGGGCTGCACGGTATTGAAAAAAACTGACATCGCGATTTAATCGATAGGTTTTTAACGTCTCTGTATAAAAAAATGATTTAATTTATAATCCATAATTCCATTTTTATGTAAATATCGCAGAGCAAAAGTTAGCTGCTTATGATAGCTACCAGAGTGGCTGCTGCTTCCGGTCTTGGCGATGCGGAAGTCTCACACACACACATTACCAAATAAGGACTGTGTGATTTCCCCTCGATTCCATTGGCTCTGACGGTCAGAAAGAGATGTCACATGTCAAAATCCAGCAAGGTGGGCCAGAGATATGGAAAATCCACCCAAATGGCCCCAAAAGAGGGTTTTTTGTGCTCAATCTGTCTAAAAGGGTCAAATATCACTTGTTTTGCATCAATCTTGATACAGAATGATTGTGATTGGTGGTTTGCTGTGCATGCAGGGGAAGTTCTACACACACCAACACATGAACAAATAAGGAGTGAGAGTGACGCGTAGCCAAAACCGGAAGCTGCATACACTGGTGGCTACCATTAGCAGCTAACTTTTGTGCTCCGATTTTTACATACAAATGGAATTATGGATTATAAACAATTGCTTCAAAGCCACAGATACATTATCAACCTATGGATCAACCGATTCAGTCGCGTTTTTTCTTTCTCGTTTTAATGCCATTGAACACGTCTTTTGATCAGATTGACAGCTACGGTGAGACGATCTCCCGTAAAAGCTCCGTAACGGCCCGTCCACACAGCGGCGTGCGTTGAAGCTTCCAACGCTTCTGCCCATTCACTTTGAATGGGGTGACGTCACTTTTAGCCGAAATGCATTTTGGGAAGCGACGTGGAGCATTGCTGGCGTAGCTGGCGTCAAAAGTTGAGCAATGTTCAACTTTTGACGCCTCGACGGAGGCGTCAGCCAATGAAATCCCGTTTATTCAAATCTGCCAGTACAATCGCATAGCCAATCAAACCGCGTGTATGCTGGGAGAGACTACGCAGGTCATTTCCTCATATTCAAAAAAATTGA